AGTCATGAATTCCTCTTTTCAGGAAAAAATGCAAATCTCCACAAGCACACATGATCCTGGATGTAATTTCAGGGCTCTAACCGACTTCTGGAGTCACAGACCCTTGGTCAACGGCTGCTGATGTAGTCCACCCCTTGGTTTTGCAGATGAAGATACTGAAGTGGAGAGGGTCTAGAGTCTGAGGTTGCACAGGGAAGGGACTTGGTAGAGGCTCTCCCTGCTAAGTCACAGCCAGACCTAAGCTACCAAAGAACGCTGAAGGGAGGTTAACTCCTCAGAAGGAATTCTTTGTGGTTTACAGAAGCAAATGGTCTATACAGTAATGTTTCTCTTCGTATCCCTTTTATTTAAAAATATTTAAATACACAAACTGAATAGAAAAATCAGACTTGAACCCCTATCTCAATGCTCCCATCTTAGGTTGTCTCTCTGTCCCTGAGTTTAAGGGTCTGATTTTTATTTTTTTGCTTCTCTCAATTTGATTACTGACATTTTGGGGAAACTTCTCTATCATCTTTGCATTATCTTCCTCTCCTCTCTTGCTGCAGTCCTGCCATTCCTTTGTGACTGGCACAAGCTGGCTTTTTCCCACATCAGCCATGGCATCCTTGCATGGCTGTGTGAAGCATGATGACCATTCTGTCTGCCACCTCCTCAGAGACTACACTGTCTGAAAAGTTTTTCCTAAGTTTGTTGGTCCTAGGTCCCAGAGCTCGGGTAGCACTGCCATAGGTCACTCCTATGATTCACATCAGCCTGATTTAAAAGTGGGTTCTTTAATGATGGAATCATTGGCTGGGTGTGGTGGCTCATGCCTATAATCCCAGCACTCTGGGAGGCCGAGGCAGGAGGATCACATGAGCCCAGGAGTTTGAGGATGCAGTGAGCTATGATAGCATCACTGTACTTCAGCCTAGGAGACAGAGTGAGACTCTTTTAAAAAACAAACAAACCAGAATCAATCATTATCACAGGAACAGGTAAAGGGGTTTCTATCTGTCTGGTTGTGTCAGCATGCAGAAAGTTCTTGGCTATTTGCATGGCTAGTTTAAAGCTGACTCCTGATTTATGCAACAGCCTCTTAAAGAATTGAAGAAGGGTCACACCATCCCCAAGGATGAGGGACTTCCCTATACTTGAATGGGAATCCACTAGGGAATTCACTCAAGAAAAAAGACTCATGTGGGTGGATGTGCTGCTTCTATGTAGAGTCAAAGTTTCCAGACCTGGACACTAGATTCCTTCTACAGAAGCTGGTTAAGAGACTGCCCAGCTGGTGGTGAATACGTTTCTTTTTCTTTTTTTTTTTTTTTGAGACAGAGTCTCACTCTTTTGCCTGGGCTAGAGTGAGTGCCGTGGCGTCAGCCTAGCTCACAGCAACCTCAAACTCCT